CTAGATTAGACCCTTGTTCTTTTCAAATTATTAATAATTAATAATCTACAGTTTGACAGTTGCACTTGGTAAGACTTCTTGAAGTAAAAAAATATTTTCAGATTAATAAGATTAATAATCCAACATATTCTGATCTTGTTTAGTACGTATATGGGTCTAAAAACAAGATCAAAAATACTTTTTAGCTGATATAAGACTGTAAAACTTGGTTAGAGGAACATTTTTCTGCAGTAAAATGACTCTACTGCTCAAAAACACTAACAGATTAAATAAGCTTCACTTTAAACCTGGTCGGGACTAAGATAGTTTCAGAGCACTTGTTATCATGGAAACATAAGTGCTTCCTAGTTCATGCAACTGATTCAAGGCTTAATTAATTCAGGTTTACACCAAAATCCCGGGTTAATCCCTTATCCTAGTTTCGTGCAATATGCTTCTGGAACTGTATTCGACACCATGATTTGGAAGTTTCTGGACTGGAAGTTAAACATTGGACTTATGCTAAAGTCTTAGCAATGGAAAACTTAACAGAGGATTCTTCTCAGGAGGAACTGCTTACATTGGAGCAACAAGTCGTGACTTTTCTGCAGAACAAGGAAATTAACATCAAGCATGATGATATCTCTATCTGCCATACCTTGATTTCTAAGTCTGACAAACTCAAACCAGCTATATTTATCAGATTTATCAGTTGAAAAGCTAGGAACAATTTAAACTTGCAAGCAAGAAAACTTAAGGGAACTAATGTCTACATTAACGAACATCTAACCAAAAAGTACGGAAACATTGCACATGAGACAAGGTTGCTAAAAAACAGAAAAAATTGTTGCATCTTGGACAAGGAAAGTAAATTTCTGGATCAAAGTAAAGGAAGGAACACAGGCTAAAATAATTAAAGATCTTGATCTGGAAGGATTCAGAAAAATTGAAATTAAAATGAGACATACCACAAGACTGTAAAAGCTGTTACAAGTTGGGACAAATTAGTTAATTAAGTTGATGGAAAATGGCATATACACAAACATGACATTAAATGAGGACTCAGAGATTAAAATTTCTGATTTAAATATAATAGGCCAAAAATTTTTCTTGTATTCAATGACTCTGAATATTACAATGAAGAATAATTTATCAGAGCCTGAAATTCACTTTTGAAATGGGGGGGGGGGGGGTTAAGAGCAGAGGGTTTATAAATTTTTTTGGGTGTGTTATTACTTATGAGCCCGACTACAGGTTTTATGTTGTGCTACAATATATAATAAATATGCTGCTTTCATTTTCCTCTTCCTGCCTTCCTAGCTGTTATGTTAACTGCTCTCTTGTCTCTTTTCTGTTTGAAAAACTCCTTCAGAGCACAGAACCACTAAATGGATGAACAGCACATAATGTGTTAATGTTCCCTTTGACAGTTCAGAAGTCACCAACAGAGATATCCTCTTATCGCGCTCACTAGGGATGAGTGATATGGACTACAATATTTATCACGATAATTTCTAGGTTTTGTCACGATAACGATGTGATATTTATATATATATTTATATATATATATATATA